ACTTAAAACTCCATTTCATTTTGTTTATTTCTGGTTTTTGTTTTTTGAGACAGGGCCTCCCTATACAGCTCAGGCTAGCCTTGAACTCAAAGTCAAAGGCTCATGGTAATCTGCCTGCCTCAGCCTCCTAACTGCCAAAATTACAGTTGTGCATTATCATGCCAGGCTATACATTTCATCTTTTACTAACTACAATTAGATTTCTGCATCCAAAAATCCACTGAAATTGCTCTTTCCCAAAGTCTGCCCAATCATTTCTATGAAGTCAGATAACAAATATTTAGGCTTTGCAAGTCACAGAGTATTATCATACAGTTTTTAAAAAACAACTAAAAAATGTAAAAATTATCCTTAATTTTTAAAATAATTCCTGCATTTTTCTTTCTTTCAGTACTGGGGATCGAACTCAGGACCTTGCACTTGCCAGGCAGGTGCTTATGCAACTGAGCTATATCCCCAGCCCCTCCTAAATGTTTTAAAGAGATATATCTATGTATATAAACAGGATGGTTTGGACAGCTCTACTGTGGATTTCTGCTGATCTATGGAAAGGAGCAGATAATGCTTAATTTGTCTCCTTTTTTCAATTGTTTCTCCTTTTTCTCCTCTTAATTTCTTACATATTTTTTTTCTTTCTTCTTCCAATTTTACATGTATATATCTGGTAATATGAATAACTGCTTGGAAGACAACTCTGTGTTACAACAAATACTGTGAAATTCATATTACTTTGTTAAGTGAAATTCTGTATCACTTGTATTTTTTCTGTTTTAATACTATCTTGTACCCTCTTTATAAAATTTTTTTAAAAATCCACAGGTCATGGGGTACATTTTGCCTGTACCTTGCAGTTTTCCTAACCCCAGCAATGCTACCAAATACCTCAGATGATCATTACCTATGAGCACCGATATACACTTTGATCATGCCCTCTTCCTTAAAATATTTTCTTCATTTGGCTTTCAGAGCATCACTCACATATCAATCCTCTTTTATTCTTCTTTGGTAGTTCCTCAGTTTCCTGACCTGTTATCCTCCAAGGCTCAATCTCAATTTCAATACCTTCCCTAAATCTGTTCTCACCCAATAGTAATCCCACCCAGTCTCATCTATCCTTTTTGTCTATCAAACTAGCTCAGGTTCCTCTTTCTCACCCCACACTCTATCAACTTTCACAAATAGATCTAGATGCTGACCACTACCTGCTGCAGAAATTAGTATTTTGCTTACAATGCCAATGTACATTAACAGTGGGTTTCAGGGGATTATATGATCTTTTTTCTTCTTTTGTAAATTTGTTGTATTATCTGCTTCTGTGAAAATTTTACAAAAGAAAATATATTTCTATAACACATACTGAATAACAAAATACTAATACATTTTACTATTATAAAGTTCTTATAAAAATGTTTCCTCAAATTTTTATTTCTTGTCCCATAATTTATAAAATGAAATAAAGACAAACTATTATGTAAAAAATAAACATAATGGCTAATCTATTACCTGAGTGGAGTTAGATAGTTGGTTTTTCCACGGCTCCTCTGCGCTGCTGGTCAGGTTTGTGCGGTTATGAGGTAGAGTGAGTGCGTTTCGCTGCAGGTAAGGCACGTTTCCATTACTTCCACTTCCTGTTATGTGATTATTGCCTATCAAAATAGTGTCTGTACTTCCCAGCGTTCTTGATGTGCTACAAGGAATATGGCCTGCAGAAAAAGGTCCATTGGCCAAAGGCTGCCCGGGGCAGGCGGGGCGGACTGCAGGCTGAGAGACGCTAGGCACTCTAGTCAGAGCAAGCTGCGGCTGCTGGCCAGAGACCGAGTTTGCAGGCAGTGAGGAGTCAGCTGTTGGCCCATTAAGAACACCCGCAGATCGTACCTGCGCAGCTCCTGTTTGTCTCATCTATCAAAAACAAATGTAAAGTAAATGCTGTTTGTGTAGCCCACAGAGGAGAGAATCAGGGAGTCTCTGATTTGACCCTAACATTTAATTTCTCTGGGTTGAAAACTGCCAACTTTAAAGAAATTGTGTTTGTTCACTTTTAGATAAGAGCTTCTAGAAAAATAAAAATGTTTCATTTTAAAGAAACATCCCATTAATAAGTACAAAGCCACAGATAAATTATGAAAAACAACTCTGAAACTCTTAAGACTTTTTCCTAACCACAAAGTAGGAAACTCAAAATTTTATTCTGTAAGATGTATGCCAGATCTTCCAAACTAAAACAAGTCCTACAAAACCTCACCTCAATTTAAGATATCTTATTAAGTACTAAATAATTTAAATAAACTCTTAGAATACATATGAAGTATCATATAAATAAATAATAAAATAAGTTTATTCAAAGTTAAATCTATAGCAGTTTCTTTCTAAAATATTCTTACAACAGGTATTTTAAGAAGCACAATAATGAGATTTTCTCAGATACATCTACACAGAAAGTAGAATGTGGTACAAATGTGCACTAAAATGATGTCACTCAATAAAAATACTTGAAACGCTAACAGAGTTTAGGGAAAAAATGCTATACACACTTGGTGTTGTTGCATTAAGACAAATTGACTTTCCAGCTGTTCTAGCATCAATTTCTGTGCTGGACTTAAATTATTTCTATTTGCACGGAGCTGTTCCAAGTGCTAGAAAAAGAAAAAAGGAAAATACAGTCAAAGGCATATCTAAGAAACAAATCATTCTCAGCAACCACCTTTTGAAATAAGATAAATTCTGAACTATTATCTAGTCAAAGATACTGATTTTTGACCAACAACTGTCAATCTCAGTTTAAAACACCTGAGAAATCTCAGTAAGAACTGAGCATTTATATGAACAAGGCTTACTGTAATGTGATCTTTGAGATGGGTATGAAATTATACTCAACATATTTTTCAATATTTACACAGAAATCTCTTCAAATTTAAAAATTCGTTATGACAACTATGATGTAAGTAGCACTGCTTGGAAGAGGAAAAGCCTGCAGATAGCTTGATGCCCAAAATGTATGATCTGCTTAAACAACAATAATCTAAAAACTATGATGTAATCATAAAAAAGTCTTTATATACTGAAACAAAATGCTTTGTAAAATACATTTAAAAGCATAAAATGCACCCTTTATCTGTGAAAGATATCTTTCAAGACCCCCAGGCGGTGCAGAAATCCACAGATAGGCTACAGCTAAAATTTAATGCCTTTTCCATCCTAACTAAAAACTGCATATTGTGGCTGTGGATTTTGAGGTGTGACAATAAAACTAGCACATTTTTTTTTTCTTTCTTCCTTTCTTGCTTGCTTGCTTCTTTGCAAGTTCACCAATAAGACATGCATTCTTACTACAGAGCTTAGTAACTTTAGCATATGATTTCTTTCTTTTCTTATTCACTAGGGAGCTTTCATCTTTTTATGTATAGAAAGTTCTCTTTGGCTTTGCATATGCACAAACTGCCACCACGCCACTCACGCTTGGTGCTATTAAGTAAAATATGGGTTATTTGAATGCACGCAATTTAATGTGGCAACAGTTGGTTTGATTGATGACATACCTACTACATGGCTAAGGGGTAATGAGTAGATAGTGTGAATATGCAGGATAAAGAAATGATCCATGTGCCTAGCGGGATAGCATGAGATTTTATCATGTCAATTATAATGATGCAATTTGAAATGCATCAAATATTTATTTCTGAAATTTTTCATTTAGGTTTTCAAGACCACAGTTGACTATAGGTAACTAAAACTACAGAAAGCGAAATTACAGATAAAAGGTAAGCTATTTGTATACAGTATTTTGCCACTTGCAGTAAAAGAAAAGACAAAGATATTACATGAGAAAGGATGGGCAAATTTGCTTATCCATGCACAAAATACCTCTGGAAAGAGAAAATACCAGCTGTTGGAAGGGAAACTGAGTGGGTAAAGGAAAGACTTGGAAGGAGACTTTATCCTTATACTATACTCAGCATTTATACCTAACACAATTTCAACCATGTGAAGGTATTGTTTTAAAAACAAAAAACTAAAAAGCAAAACATAAGAATGATTTTCATTATTCTGGTAAATACGGTTCATTTCACATTGTAAACATTGAGTCTAATTGCATTCAGATTTAGGAATTAGTACTTAAGAGAACTTAAACTTTACTACTTCTACTCCTTTCTAATAGAAGAAATATTTGGGCAAAAGCGTATCTTACGTACCTGTAATTTCTGTGGTGTCAAACACCATGAATGAGCTTGTTGCTGTACTGGAGGATGTGACACAGCAGGGCCACCACTCCAATTATCAGAAGTATTCTGAGGAAAATTGATTTAAAAAAATGTAAAGAATATTTGGTTAAATACAGAGTTAACAATAATGACTAATGGAGACCAAATGACTATGAATTGGATTATTTACATATATGAAAAATATTATAACACTACATTCTTTTAAAAATTTTTACATGCATAAACTTGGAAAACACAAGTTTAAAAAATTGATAAGCCACCCAAAAAGGCCCACCCCTAAACTATAGCCCAAATGGCTAGCCTAAATATTGTTGTCCACTTGATCCAACATTAAATTTCTTTCAATGTCAGTAAAAAGTGATAATGAAAAGTGTGCTGAGATCTTGACGGCAGGGAGATGAATAAAATGATTTGATGAATGCAAACTTAACCCTACTTTCTATAGTTAATATGATTCTACAATTTGGGATGGAAAAACTAAAACCTTTCACTCTTTGATGTCCACAGATTAAAAGTTAAGGACAAGAGATGCTCAAGCTGATGATTTCAGGGCAGCTGGAGCTTCTTTTTTGATTTGGATTTTGTATTTCTCTAAAACATATACCTTTGTTGGACTAGATGTTCTTTTCCTCTTGGCAGGACTGGACAGGTCATCTACTTGGCTAGAAGGAATCATGTGTAGTGGCAAGGATTGCTGTGAAATTGGTGTTTGACTGAGGCCTAATACAGGTTCAGTATTTGGATGATGAGGTTTACATGCCTAAGAATCACAGAAGGAAGACAAAAATAGGGTTCTATATATTCTTAATTCATTCCTTCAAATTATAAAACTTTACAAGGTACATGTTTTTCAAAGCTATGTGGACATCGCTGATTACAATAATTGAAAATAAAAACAAAATGAATCATCAATGGAGGAATGTGTACCTTCCTTTGAAAAACTTGCTTTAAAAATTAAATAAACCACTGCAGCATTATTTTAAGAAATTTTCAAAATCATGAAAATGCACAAAGGTTCTAAGTTGGCACCCCAAAATTTTTTCCCATATCCGAGGGAATTTTATTTTGATCTAGATTCCCTTAGCAATTAAACCAAAAGGCTTTCATTAATAAAAGCCTCCTGTGCTTATAAAATTAGCTTGACTACTACAGATTGAAAAGAACCCTTAAAGCTGGGCACCTGCAGAACATAACCCAACTTCTCACCTGCTGTGCTGTGTTCATGGCACCCTGCCTGGAGGTAAGCTCTGCGGGAATTGGTAGGCTCCACGCCTCCTCAATACTAGGAAGTAATTTAGTTTTATTCTGTAGACTACTTTGTGGAAGGTTACACAACTGAGCCTAGGAAAAATTATGTAAAAAGCAAATTTAACACAAGCCTACTTGAGTAAGAGCAAGTCCACTAAATCTTCCTAAATGGTATAACTAAATGTTTCTTAAAGAAAATAGATTCTAAATTTGGGGCTTTAGAAAGACACTAAGCATAAAGAGGGTAACCGAAATATAACCTTTGTGAGAATCAAAACAAAGCGGAGCTCTGTTTTCAGAGTTCTCATAGCTATCTCCTTATGAAACTCCAAGCGAGAGTGAAAGACAGTGTTTGTGTTCTTTTCTTTAAAATGCTATGGCAACTTAAAAAATGTAGACAGTACATAGAAAAAATTATGTAAATTAATATGCATCAACAGCGTAAATGTGCAAAAGAGCATCTTTTAAAATACTGCATATCTTACTTAAAATGAAAAGTGAAATAATATTACAAGCTATGGTATGTTTACAAAATATGGAAACAGATTATAGACATCAAAACACATCTACACAAACTTTCTAACCACCCTCTTCCTGCCTGAGTGTCCTGGGCAAATATGTGGCTTTAAAAAACTGCTATTTGAAATTTTTACCTGCAAATACTTAATTCTTGCTGCAAGTGCAGAGGTATTACTACAACTTTTGCTTCTAGTTGCATTTAAGTAGCATTTAATGGCATCCTGAGGCTGGTTGCAGGATTCATAGAGAGTGCCTAGATCCATCCAGGCTGCAGCATGGCCATGGTCCAATTGTACAGCACAAATATAGGCCTGTAAAGCATCCATAGGCTGATTTTGCTGTTGATATAGCACACTACAAAGACACATTAAGGAAAAATTAAGTCAAATAAGAACTACTTTGTTTCATAACATTTAAACTACGAAATGTTATAAGTGATAGAACAATCTTTATATATCAATTAAAATATCATTACTTTTACACAAAGTCTTACCCTATTGAACACCACGTATCTGCACTTGCTTCTGATTTATCAATAGACTGCCTGTAAGATATAAAGGCATCCTGAACTTTCCCAATACTTGAATAGCACCTAAGAAGGGAGGGGAGAAAAAGTCAAGAAATTTTCATTAATAATAAAACTAAATTTTTTACTGAATGTTTCATCAAAGTAAATGTTTTTAAAGACTGCGTAAGCTAAAATATTTCTATATATGTGTGCATATACAAAGAAATTAGAATATATAATTAACCCTTCAATAAACTACACTATAGTTTGTCTTATAGGTCCTAAAGCATGCTACAATAATAAATTCTATTAAGTAAATGTCATATCACTTGAATATTTTAACACTGAAAGTTGAACACACCCCCTACTCACTAATATCTTGATGTCTAGTTCCCCACACAGTCAAAATATGAAGTTAAAAACAAAACACTTTACATTGGCAAGACTTAAATCAGATTTCCATTCTTTTTTCTCAGTAACCCTGAGGGCAATAATTGTTTAATTGATAAAAGATGCAATTACAACATAATTAATCTCAAATTAAGTATCAAAATGATATGAAAGAGGCAAAGTATAATATGTAATGACTAGTAAAGACAGCAAGGTAAGATTCAAGTTTCAAAGACCTGTCATTTTTTAATGCAGACATATCTGTTGTATTCATAGATAGCAACTGAAACCATAAATACAGAAATTATATTTAGCACTAAAGGGGAAAAAAAGAATTGAAAAGAAAGAAAAGCCCAACCCCCGACTCCAGGGAGCTAGCAACTGCCATTATCAAATGGCCAGCACAGACAATGTAAGAGACCACCATGCATTGCAAGATTTAGGAAAGGAAGTAGATATGAAATTTGAACATACGTAGCTGTGTATTTAATATGGTGATTTTGCGAAGCAAGTAACACTATACAAACACCCCTCTGCAGCACACATACCATAGGTTTGCCACAACTCATCCATAGGGATGATGGCTACAACTTTTAAAGCCTAATTAAACAACAACAACAACAACAACAACAACAAAAAAGAATGGGGGCACAGGTATATTCTAGTTCACGGAAAGGGTGCTGGCCTAGTCCACAACAGGCCCTGGGTTCTATTCCAAGCACATTTAAAAAAAGGAGGGGGGGAGCTTTTGGCAAAAAAAAAAAAAAAAGAACTGGCTGGATTGTGGTTGCCAAAGGCCGATTTTGACACAAGGTCATTAAACCGGAAGTATGAAAGAACAGGTGCAGTCCTAAAAGTTAAGATACCTTTAAATGTAGAATTGTACATTTGGAATTTATCTATATGGGAATGAGACTATGAAATCACAGAATACCTATGGGAGGGGTAAAAATAAGCCTAAGGAGGGTGGACTTGTGGCCTAAACATTGTAAGAAATGATAATGGCAGACAAAAAAGGTAGTTTCAGACAATATCCTTAAGCTTCTTAGGAATAGAGAATTCATGTGAAGAAGTCAGCAATACCAAACAGGAACAGGCACTGCAGGGAAAAGGAATGCTTTAAGAGATAGTTGAAAACATGTTCCTTTTGTTGTTAAATTGAAGCCAAAGCTCAGATTTATAGACAAATTTGCCTATACCTGAGGAGAAAAAGCAGTATTTCACAAACCAGTATTTTTACATTCTATTCCTCAAAGTAGGAAACCAGTATGTCCAAATATAAATATCCTAATCCAACCATCAACCAATTCTGCTCTAATGAAACTTAAGTATCTTCTGAGAGAGCTTTATGTAATAATA